AGGGACCAGACAGTGCTGGGGACTGGGATTATTCCGGGGACTCGCATGTGAGTTGGATGCCAAGGAATAACGGTGACCGGGAAAGGCGGGGAGGCAGGATGGCGGCAGAGATTGACGATGGTCTCAAGGACGGCGCGCAGGTGAAGGGGGGTTGGCGATGGCTGCGCCCGGGAACAAGGTGGCCCGGTCTGGCTGTGCGTGATGGCCAGGCGTTAGCATAATGACGGAATACCGAGGAGGCGAGTGCGTGGCCAGGGAGCTGGAGATTCTGGGGTCCAGGGCAAAGATAATCTGCCGCCGACTCCCAGTCTCTGATGCAAAACCGAGTGAACCGTTATACCAGCCTTGCCATTTTAAGAATTACTTAAGGGTCGGGCGCGGTGGCTCACTCCTGTAATCCCAGCACTTTGGGAGGCCGAGGCGGCTGGATCACTTGAAGTCAGTTTACCAGCCTGGCCAACATGGTGAAAGCCTGTCTCTACCAAAAGTAGAAAAATTATCCCGGCGCTATTGCAGGCTCCTGTAATCCCGGCTACTTGGGGGCCTAAGGCAGGAGAATCGCTTGAACCCGAGGCGCGGAGGTTTCAGTGAGCCAAGATCGCGCCACTGCACTCCAGCATGGGCCACAGAGCAAGACTCTGTCTCAAAAAAAAAAAAAGAATTACTTAAGGTCTAGATGAAAAGCAGGGCCTACCAAGTAGCCACGTCAGGCCTGGTCTGGGGAGAGGGGAGGATAGGGTCAGTGACATGGAATCCTGACGTGGCCAAAAGTGTCTGCTGACTGGAGGTCATCGACCCTTGGACTGGGATAGGAGGTGGGGAACAGAGGATAACCCAGGTGGCTTCTTGGAAATCACCTTTCCGGGGGAGGGTCCAAGGCACTAGGTTGACATTCCTAACCTGGTTCCACCCCCCCACACCACCCCTCTGCCAGGTGGGGCAGGGGCTTCGGGCTGGTGGAGCATGTGCTGGGACCGGACAGCATCCTCAATCAATCCAACAGCATATTTGGTTGCATCTTCTACACACTACAGCTATTGTTAGGTGAGTGGCTCTGCCCCCTCCCTGCAGGCCCCGGCCCTCATCGCCCTTGGTCAGCTCAGCCCCACTCCATGCAATCTTGGTGATCCACAGCTGATAGCCAGCTAGCTGCTCATCACGGAGCATCCTGCAGGTGGAGAGGTGGGGAGGTAACTAACAGGAGTCTTTTAATTGGTTTAAGTACTGTTAGAGGCTAAAGGGCCCTTAAAGACATCCTAGGTCCCCAGGTTTTTTGTTTGTTGTTGTTTTGAGACAGGGTCTGGCTCTGTTGCCCAAACTGAGGTCTAGGATGCCCTTAGCGTGCACTGGTGCGATCTCAGCTCATAGCAACCTCTGCCTCCCTGCCCAAGTGATCCTCCCACCTTAGCCTCCCGAGTAGCTGGAATCACAGGCGTGCACCACTATACCCAGCTAATTTTTGTGTTTTTTTTGGTAGAGACAGTGTCTTGCCATGTTGCCCAGGCTGGTCTCAAGCAATCTGTCTGCCTTAGCCTCCCAAGGTGCTGGGGGGATTACAGGCATGAGCTACCATGCCCCACCAGCACCCCAGTTTTGTGGAAAAGATGCCGAAATTCCTTTTTAAGGAGAAGCTGAACATGAGCTATCTTTTATCTCATTTAGTGCTCCGCAGGAAAATTTGTATCTGGTCCCAGGAATTATTGAACAGACAGGGGAACCAAGGGAGTGGGAGACGATGGCGCCCCAGGCCTTGCTGATGCCATACCCTGGAGATGAGACTACCTATTACCACCCTTCCCAACAGGCCCCCACACTCCCTTTGAGTCACCCTTCCCAGCTCCAGAGAAGGCATCACCGAGGGAGGCCCAGCACCACGGTCCCTGGCTGACACATGGTTCAGACTTGGCCGATTTATTTAGGAAATTTTATTGCTCAGAACTTTCCCTCCCTGGGCAATGGCAAGTTCCTTGGAGGGAACCTGTCAAAGCCTTTTTTTTTTTTTTTTTTTTTTAAGAAATCATCTTGCTCTGTTGCCCAGGCTGAAGTGCAATGGCACAATCATAGCTCACTGTAATCTGGAACTCCTGGCTCAAGTGATCCTCCTGAGTAGCTGGGACTAGAGTTACATGCCACTGCACCCAGCTAATTTTTATTTTATTTTTTATTTTTTGAGACATAGTCTTGCTCTGTCACCAGGCTGGAGTGCAGTCGCGTGATCTTGGCTCACTGCAACCTCTGCCTCCCCGGTTCAAACAATTCTGCGTCAGCCTCCCGAGTAGCTGGGACTATGGGCGCGTGCCACCACGCCCAGCTCATTTTTGTATTTTTAGTAGAGAGGGTTTCACCCTGTTGGCCAGGATGGTCTCAGTCTCTTGACCTGGTGATCCGTCCACCTCAGCCTCCCAAAGTGCTAGTATTACAGGCATGAGCCAACCTCACTGGGCCTTTTTTTTTTTTTGAAACGAAGTCTCACTTTTGTTGCCCAAGCTGGAGTGCAGTGGTGTGATCTCGGCTCACTGCAACCTCTGCCTCCTAGCTTCAAGCTATTCTCCTGCCTTAGCCTCCCCAGCAGTTGGGATTACAGGTGCCCATCACCATGCCTGGCTAATTTTTTGTATTTTTAGTAGAGATGGGGTTTTGCCATGTTGGCCAGGCTGCTCTCGAACTCCTGACCTCAGGTGATCCACCACCCTCGGCCTCCCAAAGTGCTGGGATTACAGGCATGAGCCACTGCGCCCAGCCGAATTTCTAAATTTTTGATACAGATTGGGTCTTTCTATGTTGCCCAAGCTGGTTTTGAACTCCTAGCCTAAAGCAGTCTTCCCACCTCGGCCTCCCAGAGTGTTGGGATTACAGGTGTAAGCCATCACACCTGCCCTGGAGCCTCTTGTTTTAGAGACACTTCCCAGCAGCTCCTGGCATCTAGGTGGTGTGGTGACATCATGGAGTGTTCAGGAGGTGGCCAGTCCCTGAAGCCCACACCGGACCCTCTTCTGCCTTGCAGGTTGCCTGCGGACGCGCTGGGCCTCTGTCCTGCTGCTGCTGAGCTCCCTGGTGTCTCTCGCTGGTTCTGTCTACCTGGCCTGGATCCTGTTCTTCGTGCTCTATGATTTCTGCATCGTTTGCATCACCACCTATGCCATCAATGTGGGCCTGATGTGGCTCAGTTTCCGGAAGGTCCAAGAACCCCAGGGCAAGGCTAAGAGGCACTGAGCCCTCACCCCAAGCCAGGCTGGCCTCGTCTGCTTTGCTTTGGCATGTGAGCCTTGCCCAAGGGGGCATATCTGGGTCCCTAGAAGGCCCTAGATGGAGGGCCTTCTAGAGTCCCCCCTCCTCCTGCCATACCTGCACACGACAATGGACCAAATGTGCCACACACTTGCTCTTTTTTCCACCCAGTGCCTCTGACTCTGTCCCCAAGGGCTGGTCTCCAAAGCTCTTGCCATTGCCCAGGGAGGGAAGGTTCTGAGCAATAAAGTTTCTTAGATCAATCAGCCAAGTCTGAACCATGTGTCTGCCACGGACTGTGGTGCTGGGCCTCCCTCAGTGTTGCCTTCTCTGGAGCTGGGAAGGGTGAGTCAGAGGGAGAATGGAGGGCCTGCTGGGAAGGGTGGTTATGCGTAGTCTCATCTCCAGCATGTGGAGTCAGCAAGGCCTGGCGCGCCATCGGCCCCCACCCCCAGGAAACAGGCTGGCAGCTCGCTCCTGCTGCCCACAGGAGCCAGGCCTCCTCTCCTGGGAAGGCTGAGCACACACCTGCAAGGGCAGGCTGCCCTTCTGGTTCTGTAAATGCTTGCTGGGAAGTTTTTCCTTGAGTTTAACTTTAACCCCTCCAGTTGCCTTATTGACCATCCCAAGCCAGTATTGGTAGCCCTGGAGGCCCAGGGCCAGGTTCTGAAGGTTTTTGTTTTGCCTATTATGCCCTGACCACTTACCTACATGCCAAGCACTGTTTAAGAACTTGTGTTGGCTGGGTGCGGTGGCTCACACCTGTAATCCCTGCACTTTGGGAGGCCAAGGCAGGAGGATCACTTGAGGTCGGGAGTTCCAGACCAGCCTGAGCAAAATAGTGAGACCCCTGCCTCTACAAAAAAAAAAAAAAATTAGCCAGGGTTGGTGGTATGCACCTGTAGTCCCAACTAATCGGGAAGCTGGTAGGAAGATCGTTTGAGCCCAGAAGGTTGAGGCTGCGGTGAGCCACGATCACTGCACTCCAGCCTGAGCAACAGAGCAAGACCGTCTCAAAAAAAAAAACCAAAAAACCGGCCGGGCGCGGTGGCTCAAGCCTGTAATCCCAGCACTTTGGGAGGCCGAGATGGGCGGATCACAAGGTCAGGAGATCGAGACCATCCTGCCTAACACGGTGATGCCCCGTCTCTACTAAAAATACAAAAAAAAAAAAAACTAGCCGGGCTCGGTGGCGGGCGCCTGTAGTCCCAGCTACTCGGGAGGCTGAGGCAGGAGAATGGCGTAAACCCGGGAGGCGGAGCTTGCAGTGAGCTGAAATCCAGCCACTGCACTCCAGCCTGGGCGACAGAGCGAGACTCTGTCCCAAAAAAAAAAAAAAAAAAAAAACCAGCAACTTGTGTTAACATGTTAAACTCATTTAATCTTTACAGTGATGTATGAGGTGCATACTGTTATTACCCCTATCTTGATGATAGGGACAGAGAGGCTAAGTAGTATGCCTGAGATCACACAGCTACTGCAGGACGCTCTCAGGATTTGCATCCACCTGGTCCATCTGGCTCCAGCATCTATATGCTTTTTTTTGTTGGTTTGTTTTGAGACAGAGTTTTGCTCTTGTTGCCCAGGCTGGAGTGCAGTGGCACAATTTCAGCTCACCACAACCTCCGCCTCCCGGGTTCAAGCGATTCTCCTGCCTCAGCCTCCTGAGTAGCTGGGATTACAGGCACCCACCACCATGCCGGGCTAATTTTGTATTTTTGGTAGAGACAGGGTTTCTCCATGTTGGTCAGGCTGGTCTCGAACTCACCACCTCAGGTGATCCGCCTGCCTTGGCCTCCCAAAGTGCTGGGATTACAGGCGTGAGCCACCGTGCCTGGCCAGCATCTATATACTAAACCCTACCCGCAACTGCCTCTGTCTTGAGGTCAGGGTTCTTGAACGGTCTGGGCCAGCCTGAGTTAGGAGTGGGAAGAGGAAGAGGAGGCACGCGCCCAAGTGTTCTTCCCGCCTGACCGAGTCCTCCAGCGCCTGTGAGGAAGGTGGGCACTGCTGTCACCCTGTTTCCCGGGAAGCCCGCAGGCCCAGGGAGATACTGGGATTTGCCAAAGGCTCACAGCGAGCAGGCAGCAGTGGGTGCTGGCCCCTCGACACCCAGCCTGGCACACACTGTCTCTGAGTAGACCTGGGAGAGGGCATGTGAAACCCACCTGGCCATGGCTGGAAGAGAAGTGGGGGAGTGGAAATGAAAAGTGGAGACCGGGAGGAGCTGCCTACGTGCCCCTCCACAGTTCCAGGATGGCGCTTTCATGCTGGGAGTGAGCTTGCCCTGTGCCAGGCTGTCATCGAGTCGTTTTCCATTCAACAACCGTTTCTCAGACAAGGTGCAGGCAGGTTAGCTCTGCCAGGCCACTCAAGTAGTAAGGAAATAGATTTAAACCCTGACAGTTTGGCTCTGCAGCTGAGGCCCAGAGAGGGGTAGTGACAAGCCCAGGGTCACACAGCCACAGTCCCAGAGCTAGGAACTGCTGGCTAGGGCAAGCAGAGAGCTGACTCCTAGCCAACTGGGGGTGGAGCAGAGGTGGAGCCAGGGAGACCCAGGTGGCCTCTCTGAGAGCGGAGCACAGGCGGCAGAGTGGCCCGGGGCAGCATGAAGTGGAGCTGGGGCCCAGTGCTGCTCTTCGCGGGTGCCACGGTCCTCATGGAGGGTAAGCCGCCGTGCATGGGGGTATGGGGGTGGCCTGGTGGGGGCTCAGGGGCCATCTCTGCCCCAGCAGTCCCTGCTGCTTGGTGGGGGGACTGCCTGTGGGCGATAGTCCGCCAGTGGGGATGTAACTCCGTGGGACTCCGTGGGACGGTATATGTGGCCACCTGCGTCAACATGGATGAGATTTTCTCGGGCCAGCTGCAGTTTGCGTTGGCGGGGCCTGTGGTCTTTGTGTATGTGGTGCTGCCTGTGTGTGTCCTATACCCACCTCCCCCTCGACTTCCACAATAACCTCAGGCAAACTCGGGGCTCCTCTGGCCTCAGTTTCCCTTTCTTTTCATCCATCCTCTGGGCAGCCTGGCTCAGCTGTCTCATGGGGGTGCCTGTGTGCCTGTGAGGGGTGGCGGGCAGGGGCCTTCTCTCTGGCGAGCTCTCAGGCAGTTTCTGGGAAGGTGGGGAAGACTGAGTCTCTAGACCAGGGTGAGGTAAGTCTCCATTTCTTGGGGCCCTCCCCCCTTGGAAATGACGCAGGCCTCTAATCCTTCTTTTAGGCCTCTGCTGCTGAGAGGACAATTAAGCTAATGCTCTCCACACACAGAGGCCGCCTCCCTGACTCAGTGGCGGGGGCAGGAGTTGGGGGTTCTGAAGCCTGGAGGAGGGTTGGCCTACTCCCAAGCTGAACCTCCAGCCCCGGAGTGCTGAGCACAGCTGAAGGAGAATTAATTACTGAGTGTGAATGCTGAATAGGTTCCAATAAAAGCTGTGTCGACCTCATATAAATATTTTCATTCTGGGAGGGGCTGGTGAGGTAATCAGAGTCACAAGCAAGGACCCTGGGCCCGCCCCCCAGCCCATCCCCTCTCCTCCCCAAAGCTAGGCAGGCCTGGAGTCTCACCTGTGTCTCTCTCTTCCCAGGTCTTCAAGCCGCTCAGCGTGGTAAGGTCTGGGGATGCGGGGCCTGGGCCTTACTTGGGTCTGGGTTGGGACTGGGGTGAGGTCAGGACAGGGATCTGCTGTCATTGTGACCCAACCCTCTCCACAGCCTGTGGACAGCATGGCCCCGGTCCCCCCAAGCCTCAGGAGGGCAACACAGTCCCCGGCGAGTGGCCCTGGCAGGCCAGTGTGAGGAGGCAGGGAGCCCACATCTGCAGCGGCTCCCTGGTGGCGGACACCTGGGTCCTCACCGCTGCCCACTGCTTTGAAAAGTAAGTCCTGGCTGGGGTCAGGCAGGGTCTCTGGCTCTGGAGGATGGATGATTTGTCTCAAGCCCCACAAGGCTAGTCCCTACCTCTAGAGTAATAATAAAGTACCACTTACTGAGAATCTGCCATGTACTGGGTACTTATTGTCAAGTGAATTGTAACAACCACCTTTCAACCTTAGGACTAGAGAACTGGCACAGGCATCCACACCGCCGAGCCTAATTAGGGGGCTCTTTCACCCCCTGGGATGGGAACAGCCCCATTAGGGCTGAGAGGCGCAGGCACTTTGGAACTCTACAGGTTTGGAGTATAGGTAGAAGATTTACAAATGAGAAAACAGGTTGCAAGGGAATGACCTTGCTTAAAGTCACAGACGGAGGCCGGGCACAGTAGCTCACGCCTATAATCCCAGCACTTTGGGAGGCCAAGGAGGGAGGATCGCTTGAGCCCAAGAGTTCAAGACTAGCCTGGGCAACATAGCAAGACCATGTCTCTACAAAAAATATAAAACTAGCCAGGCATGGTGGTGCACACCTGTAGTCCCAGCTACTCACGAGGCTGAGGTGGGAGGGTCGCTTGAGCCTGGGAGGTCAAAGCTTGCAGTGAGTCGTGGTCATGCCACTGCACTGCAGCCTGGGCAACAGGACGAGACCCTACCTCAAAAAGAAAAAGCCGTGGAGTGCTCTCTGCTATCTCTCCACCTAACCCCCTGTGGGATCCTCCCATGGTGTCACTGTCTCCTTCCGTTCAGCAGCCTGGACCTCTGTCCTCCCCCTTCCGCAGGGCAGCCAGAGATAGAACTGAATCCTGGTCAGTGGTCCTTGGCTTTCTCTGCAGCGTGAGGGACCCCTAGGGGCCGAAGAGGTGGGGGTGGCTCGCCCCTGCAGTGTTGCCCCCAGGGCCTATAACAACTATGCCAGGGCTCAGCCTGGCCCTGCCTCGCGCCTCACCACCCGTGACCCACACCCCTCTGCCTGCCCCAGGCCTGCCCAACTTCGCTTCCCTTTGGAGCCTCCTGCTGGGACCAGCTGGCTGGATAGGACACCGGTGATGGTAAGTGCTGGCCCAGACTGAAGCCTCGCACGGCACTTCTGCTTGCCCACAAGCGCACCGTCCTCAGCTCCCAACTGTCCTGGGCTTCCAGTCCTCCCTCTGCTCTCAGATCCCAGACTCAGCCAGCCCGCTCTGCTTTCATTAGCTCCTGGACCCGCTACGCGAATCTGCGCCCTGCGTCTCATCAGCTCCCCCACATGTACTGCATCTACAACCAGCTGCACCAAGCGACACCTGTCCAACCCGGACCCGGCCAGGGATGCTATGGTGGGGGCCCCCAGCCTGGGGTGCAGGGGCCTGTTCAGGTCTGATGGGGAGAGAGAGAAAGGAGCAGAAGGGGAGAGGCCTACCCTGCGGCTGGGGGTTGGCAACTCACAGGACTGGGGGAAAGCGGCTCATGCAGCAGGGTATCTGCCAATAGCTGGGCTCAGGCATCTGTTTCTTGACTTTGTTGCCTGGCCTTCACAGGGAGAGTCCGGGGCCCCTGTGGCGCTGTCCTCGAGCCCTGATGGACACTGGTTCAGGCTGGCCACATCGCTTTGCACTCAAGTGTGCCCAGGAGGGACGCTCCTGCGTGCTGCTGACCAACAACAGCTGCTCCAGTTTCCTGCTTGCGCGCTCGAGTTCAGGGCGCTTTCCTGGCCCAGAGCCCAGAGACACAGAGATGAGTGACGAGGACAGCTGTGTAGGTATGAGCGGGGCCATGCTGGGCAGTTGCGTAGACAGCCACTGTGAAGCCAACCTCAGTTCAGGAGCTAGAGCACTGGCACAGCATCCACACCCCGCCGAGCCTCAATTAGGCGGGCTCCTTTCACCCTCGGGATGGGAACGCCCATTCAGGGCTGAGAGGCGCCGCGCCACTTTGGAACTCTACAGGTTTGGAGTTTAGGTGAGAAGAGGAATCTCTGAGACCTGACTTGGGTTTCTGGGGAAGTGGCAAGCTTCCAGCAGGGACCCAGCGAGCCTGCACAGGGTAGGGCTCCCAGTCAGAATTCCGGCATTAAGTGACTGGCATGCAAATTGAATGCAAAATAATTCCTGGGACGGATATTATGTCTTGATGGTAAGAGATGCACTAATGAGCCAGGAATATGGGAGGCAGGCCCAGCCTGGAGGGTGCAGACGGGTGGGGCGGGGGAGTGACGAGTAGGGGCATTCCCACGAGGCTGGGACCGAGGTCCCATCAGACCGACAAGGCTAAAAGCTCAGGCCCTAGCTTGTGAATCCCAAGTCTGCCACTTGCCTGTAGTTACAGAACGAGGAAGTCATTTAACCTCTCTGGAACTTTGGTTACCTTCAGTAATGAGGGGAACAAAATTCAATTTCAAAAGATATTGTGAGAATTTGATGAGAAGCGGGAAACACTTAGCAAGAAGTCAGATGAGGCACTCATCTGTTTCAGCCTGTGGATCCTTGAGGACAGCAGGTCCCCAGGCAGGAGCACCCTCCCCGTGGCCCTGGGATGCCAGACTGATGCACCAGGGGCAGCTGGCCTGTGGTGGAGCCCTGGTGTCAGAGGAGACAGTGCTGACTGCTGCCCACTGCTTCATTGGGTGAGTCTTGGATCCCTCTCCACTGTGCCCCCTGTCCCTGCCGGCAGCCCTGTCACCTGGTGCCGTCCACACTGCCTCTGCATAGGCGCCAGGCCCCAGAGGAATGGAGCGTAGGGCTGGGGACCAGACCGGAGGAGTGGGGCCTGAAGCAGCTCATCCTGCATGGGGCCTACACCCACCCCGAGGGGGGCTACGACGTGGCCCTCCTGCTGCTGGCCCAGCCTGTGACACTGGGCGCCAGCCTGCGGCCCCTCTGCCTGCCCTATGCTGACCACCACCTGCCTGACGGGGAGCGCGGCTGGGTCCTGGGACGGGCCCGCCCAGGAACAGGTAGGTGGGCATGGGGCCAGGGCCACTGTCCATCCAGCCTGCAGGCCGGAGCAGCCAGCTTTCCCTTGCTCCACAGGCATCAGCTCCCCCCAGACAGTGCCTGTGACCCTCCTGGGGCCTAGGGCCTGCAGCCGGCTGCATACAGCTCCTGGGGGTGATGGCAGCACTATTCTGCCGGGGATGGTGTGTACCAGTGCTGTGGGTGAGCTGCCCAGCTGTGAGGTGAGCCCCAGGCCCCCACGCCTTACCTAATAGGCCCCTGGCATCCCCTCACCCAATAGCTCAAGAACGGACCTTCTAAGCTTGGCCTCTGGACCCACCTCCCACCTGAAACTAGGCCTTTTTGCCAGTTAGCTCACAAACAGCCAGAGCCTCCATAGCCCACTCTGCCATTCTGCACAGCTGCCTGTAAAGTCACCCAGTGTCACCTGACCCCTGACAGGGCCTGTCTGGGGCACCACTGGTGCATGAGGTGAGGGGCACGTGGTTCCTGGCCGGGCTGCACAGCTTCGGAGATGCTTGCCAAGGCCCCGCCAGGCCGGCGGTCTTCACTGCGCTCCCTGCCTACGAGGACTGGGTCAGCAGTTTGGACTGGCAAGTCTACTTCGCCGAGGAGCCAGAGCCCGAGGCCGAGCCTGGAAGCTGCCTGGCCAACATGAGTATGTGGCCCTGGGACCTCCTGCCAAACCCTGCCTCTCCAGGACCCTTCTCTCTCCAGTGAGGGGGTGCGTTGTTCTAACCCACTCCAGCTGCCCTGGGTAGTGTGGAGCAATAGGCAGACCCATTTGATTCAGATTCTGGTTCTTTGTCATCGCGTCACTTGGAGCAGGCCACTCAATCGCTTTGAGCCTCAGTATTCTCATCTGTCATGGCAGCCAAGACAGACCCTGTTCCTTTGAGGAATGGGAGAGAGGGAGGGACCAAAGCCATGAGGGTGAGGACAACTCCACACTCCTTCCTTCCTCACAGGCCAACCAGCCAGCTGCTGACAGGGGACCTGGCCGTTCTCAGGACAAGAGAATGCAGACAGGCAAACAGCATTACTGCCCCTGCCCTCCCCACCTTGCCATGTGTGATTCCAGGCACCAGGGCAGGCCCAGAAGCCCAGCAGCTGTAGGAAGGAACCTGTCTGGGGCCACAGGTGCCCACTCCCCACCCTGCAGGACAGCGGTGTCTGTGGACACTCCCACACCCAGCTCTGCTCCCACACAGGCATCCCAGCTTTCCTCCTCCTTTACCCTTTCAGATACAATCATGCCAGCCATGTGTTTTGAAAATTTCTTTTTTGGGGGGGCAGCAGTTTTCCTTTTTTTAAACTTAAATAAATTGTTACAAAATAGACTTTAGAAAATAAGTTACAAATTGTAGCAAAAGGCTCCCTTCCACAGGCAACTTTCCCACCTGTGGGGCTCTGCATCCAACTCTCCCTGGTGTTACAATCTGGCTGCTGAGGGTGGCACGGCATCTCGGCAGAGGCTGGCGCTGGGAAGAGCATGGTGACGAGGCTGGTGGAAGGAGGTCCTTCAAGGACAGGGACACGAGGAACACCCCACACCCTCCTTGGGAAAGAAGCCAGATCTGGGTCCTCTTCACAAGGGGAGAGGAGAAGATATGGGGATGCCTGAACTACTCCTGAGAAAACGTGGAGATCAAGCCCCTCCCTGCACGCACTCCCTCCCCCAGATTCTGATCTTTGGAGACTTGAAGTTCAGAGGGAGAAGCTGAGGTCTGCAGGCCACTGGGGTGAAGGATCCAGGATTGGGGTCGTGGGGGTGGGTGGAGGGGGCAATGACAAGTCCCCTCTGCCCGTCGCTGGTGCCACTGGGGCTCCTGGGGAGAGAGAGAGAGGAGGTCACCGACTGAGGGGCAGACCCCGCACAGCGTGTACCCTGTCCCAGCCCTGCAGGCCATTCCCCCGCCCCTGGCCCCAGAGGCCCAGATGAGAACAGGAATTCTAGGCCTCCTAATTATTTTCCCAGTCCTTGCAAACTGGCTCCTCGATCATATCCCTTGAGGTCATGAGAAATCTTCTATCCTTAAAGCCATTCCTTCAGCTCTCAGGTGACTCCCACCCGCCCTCTGCTCTGACAAGACCCATCAAGGGCCCACCATCTCAGGGCCACCCACCCTCGAGGGCCACTAGATGGAATGGGCCCACCTCTACTAGAGGAGGTGGAGAGGCCAGCCCAGGTCCTGCTGAGGGAACCGGCCGCCCCACTCCCCGGCAGCCACAGCCTCCAGCAGTGCTGGGTGGAGGCGATTGCCCACAGAGATGCCCTCTGATCAGGGATGTGACACGGGATAATGACTGTTGTTGCTGCAACTGGGTCTGGACTTCAAGGAAACAATTATCTGTGACTCAGTCCTCCAGTTAAAGGTGTGCAGAGGGTGGCGGGGTGTGCAGGTCGAAAGAGTGGTTTGGCTGGATCCTAAAAAGGCCGTTGGCAGCAGAGGGAGAAGGGGCTGAATTAAGTTTAGAGAAGAGACGGGAGCAACACTGACAGGGAAGGACCAGAGGTCTAGTTCACAAGGAGAGGGGCAGCAGAGACAAGGCGCAGGGAAAGAGGGACAGGGAGTAGGGTGCCAACCAGTGACCCGGTTTCCATGGCCAAGTCAGCAGGCGAGCTGTGGAGCCCATGCCCCATCCCTTGTTCCCTGGCACCCGGCCTGCTCTAGGGAAGAATGGAACCTAGACCAAACCAATGGCGTCCTCTATTCCTCTGGAAGTCATTGCATTACTGGCTGACTCAGGAGCATTTCCAGACACAGCAGCCAGGGGGTACCCAGCGACCTTCCCCCGAACAGAAAGACCATTCCACTCTGGCTACAGTGTAATGGAGGAGCCCAGGCAGCAGCCTCAGCCTGACCATGCCCCCACCTTGACCACGCCCCCACGTGCTGCCCAACCCACCCTGCTATTTGTTATACCTGATCTGGGGGTGCTCAGCTAGTTTTCTCACCCCATAGCCAAGCCCCCCCCCACCTCTTAAAATCCCCGGGACTCTCTCCTCTCACTCCTTGCTCCCCCACCCACTTTGGGGCCAGGCTTCACCCTCCCCCGTGTGCCCACCTCCTCCTGGGACCCTTCATGCCCCCGTACCAGAGTTGGCCACTGTCCACTCCTCCTGGTGCTGCTGCTGGTGCTGCACAAAGCTGATTCGGCGGCGGAAGTGGCGGGGACAATGGGGACAGGTGAAAGGCCCCTCCCGGGGTGCGTGGACCCGCCCGTGACCCTCCAGCCGGGCAGCTGTTCGGAAGGCCTTGCCACAGATGCTGCAGCAGTGGCGCTTAGGGTCCGTGTGGATCCTGCTGTGGTTCTTAAGAGACAGCAGGTTAGGGAGAAGTTTGGGACAGAGGGAGCAGGGGTACAACCCTGTGGTGTGGGCCTTCTGGTGGTTCAGCAGGCTGCCAGCGTGGCGGTAGGAGCGCCCGCACTGGGCGCAGCGGAAGGGCCGCTCCTTGTCCTCAGCTGCCATGGACGTCACCACTTGTCCTCCCCTGGCACTCTCCACACTCTCTCCTGGGCTTCCGGGGGTTTCTGATGGGGCCTCCCGGGCTTTCCCTTGACCAGGGAGAACCACCTCATCCTCCCCAGTTCTGGCTTTGGGATCTCTGGCCTCCTCCATCTGGGCTGGCACCTGGCTGTGGCCCAGGGCATGAGCCTGCAGGTGGCTGGCCAGTTCCTGGTGGGACTCAAAGGCCTTGCCACAGTCAGGACAGGTAAAGGTCTGGGCATCTATGTGGTTGTGGCTGTGGCTCTTTGTGGCCACAGGATTCAAGAACTCCTTGGAGCAGAGCAGGCAATAGTGTCGGTCTGTCTTGTGGGTGTTGTGGTTCAAGAGGCTGCCCGATTGGCAGTAAGTCTTGCCGCACTGGCTGCAAGAGGAGGAGTGGCTCCCTGGCTGCAGCTGAGAGCTATTGTCTCTGTTGTCCCAGCTATCCATGTGACTCAGAGTAGGTCCATTGAGCTGGCAGTCACCAGCATGGCAAGGACTCCTGTGGACACTGTCCTCTGGCTCCTCTGACCTGGTCAGGAACTGAGGAACCCAGCCTCCACTGTGATTCCCCAGTCCCCCACCTACTGGCCACCCACCTGCCTTCCCTGCGTCCCAGGACAGTGGCTCTGGGGCTTCTGAGCTTGCTGCCCTGATGGGGCTCTGACTGCGCTCCCCTGGTCTCGGGACTCCATCCTCCAGCTGGGGTACTGGCTCAGCACCACCCAATTGGGCCTCTAGTCCCTGGCTACCAGTCAGGTTCGCCTCACTGGCTGCTGTGCCATCCAGGCCTCCCTGGCCATTGGCTGGCTCCCTTTCTGTCTCCTCCTCATGCTCCCGCAGGTGCCGTTCCAAAGATCCCCGGCCAGGGAAGCCGCGGCCACAGAGGGCGCAACGCACAGCTGAGCGCCTGGACCGTCCAGCCCGCCGCCGCCGATTCTCCGAGTGCAGCCTCTGGTGGTCCTTCAGGGCCATGCGGTTGGAGTAGGTCTTGGGGCAGGTGGGGCAGCTGTACTGGCCCGTCTCGTGGCTGCGCCGGTGGTTCAGGAGGCTGCCAGCATGGCGATAGGTCCGCCCGCACTGCCCACAGCGGAAGGGCCGATCTTCCCGAGTCGGCTTTCGGGTGCCCCCACCCCCACGTCGCTCCATGTGGACCCGCTGGTGGCTGGCCAGCTGTTTCCGCAGGCGGAAGGCCTTCCCACACTCACTGCAGCGGAAACGTCGGGGATCTGCATGGATGCGCCGGTGGTTCTTGAGGGACATGAGGTTTGAGAAGCCCTTGGAGCAGGCCTGACAGCCGAAGTGGCCGGTCTGGTGGCTCTGCCGGTGGTTGATGAGGCTGCCGGCATGCTTGTAGGATCGGCCACACACCTCACAGCTGAAGGGCCGCTCAGAGCTGGCTTCAGTCTGGCAGCCCTTCTCGGCAGTCTCCAGCCTGGGCTCTATCTCCTCCCCTTTCACAGTGGTCTCCTCCCACACCTCTTCCTTCACCCCGGCCACTTCCTCCAGGGGCTCCACTTTAAGTTTTTCCTGGAGCTTCTCGACTTCTGCCTGCCCCAGTCCCTCCTCTGCCATGTGCTGGGGCTTGCTGCTGCCTCCTTCTGGGGTGGGCCCAACCTGCAGCTCACTGCTACCTCCTGCCTCTGGGATGGGCCCAACCTGGGGCTCAGAGCCTTTGCAGCGAGGGTGGTTCCGCAGATGATTACGGTAGGCAGCCAGGTTGGGGTAGCAGCGGGAGCAGACAGGGCAGAGAAAGTCTCCAGTCTGGTGGATCTTGCGGTGGTTCACCAGGCTGCCCCCATGGCGATAGGTCTTGCCACACTGGTTGCAGCGGAAGGGGCGGGGCTGAGCCTCCAGCAAACTTTCCCCACCCTGCATGCAGAGGCCGTCTCCCAAGGGGGTGCCTGCTCCCTCTTGAGACTTGGCATCTCCACCCTCTCCAGAGACAGAAGTCACTATGTCCTCCAAGACACTGCCCACAACCATCTCCGTGGCATCACCTGCCACTCCCAAGGGGCTGGGAGCCTTCTCTGCAGCAGTCCCAGAACTTTGACTTTGGTGGTGGCGCTCCAGGCTCCCCAGGTCATCGTAGGTCTGCCCGCAGCAGCCACAGATGTGCCCATACCCTGCACTGTCCAGTGCTTCCACCTCCCGCTGCAGCTGATTCAGCAGCTCTGCTTCCGAGAGCTGCAGTGGCGGGCTGCGTGCAGGAGCTGCCTCTGCCGCTCCTTCCTCTTCCCCCTCCTCCTCTGAGCCCTCAGTCATGCCAGAGGAGCTGTGGGCCTGGCGCCGGTGAAGCCTGTAGCCAGCCCGCCCGGGGAAGATCATGCCGCAGAGGCAGCAGAGGAAAGGCTGTGCTGAGGTCGCCTCCCCGGGCCTATGGTTCTGGAAGTGGCTGCGGAGGGCAGGCAGAGAGTCAAACTCCTTCGGGCAGAGGGAGCACTGATAGATGCCTGGTGGGTGGCAGGGCCTGTGGCTCAGCAGGCCAGTGGCATGGGGGAAAGAATGCCCACAGTCAGAGCATGTGTGAGTGGCCCCAGCCTGCCAGCCAGTGACAGTGTTGGCAGAGTGGGAAGAGGAGTTGGGTTGGCCAGTGGCTGGCTTCTGGTCTTCATCCACGCCAGTGAGGCCATCGCAGAAGCGAGTCCCACCACCTTCCTCACCTCCTGGGATGTCCAAATTGTCAAGTAAACTGGCATCCTTCCTTTCCAGTCCTTCCCCAGTGCCTCCACTCTCTTTATCACCCTGGAAATGGGTCTCATCCCTCTCAAGCCCACATTTGTCCCCTTCAGATTCAGCCTGCAAACAGCCCCCATCACTTTCCAGGTTGCCTTCCGCCCCGTGAGGACTT